AGCGCCACGAAGTGCCTGCGTTCGCTACAGCGCACAGAGCGCGGGCCGGGCCGGAGCACTGTCCCTCTGCCCCTTGTCCCTCTGCTCCCTGTCCCCCGCTATGCTGTGTGGCCGCTGGGGAAGGGGCCGCCGCCGGCCCGAGGAATCCGCGGCGCCCGCCAGAGACGTTGTACCCCTCGCGCTCCCGCCGTCGCCGGGCGGAGTCGCCCAGAGGCCCACGTCGCGCGGGCTGAAGAAGATGGGTCAGTGTGGGACACACGGGACAGGGCGGTACGGTGAAGGGCGGCGGGGCCGGGGGCACGGGAGCTGGAAAGGCCGCAGCAGGGAGCTCGCACCCTCCAGGTGGGGTTGCGCCGGATCTCCCAGATCTCCTGCTACCCCACCAGGAGGTGCCCACGGGGCGTGGGGGGTGTCGAGGCTTGGGGCGGCCTCCGCCCGCAGGCGGCTGGGGTCAGGGGCCCAGACCTTCCCTGGGAGAGTGTGGACTCCACACTGGGACCTGAGTCGGCAGTGATCCAGTGCGGGGGCTGGAGTCTGGTGACCCCACTGCAGAGCTCAGGGTCCCCACCGGGCCTGGGAGCAAGCAGTCCATAGCAGGCCTGGTGCTGAGGTCCGCACTGGACTGTCCTACAGCCTGGACCTCTGCCCTCCCTGCCACTTGGCAGGGACCCTCAGCATCTGGCACAGTGGGGTGCAGGGGGTGGGGTGCCTGGGCCATTTTATAAACATGAAGCACAACTACAGGTCCAGCAGCTGAAGAGGCTGGGGCAGAGGATTGCAAGTCTGAGCCCTGTCTGGGCAACTTGGTGAGACTGTCCGAAATAAAGAATAGAAAAGGTTGGGGATGTAACAGCTATGGAGAGGAAAGGAAGGGAGGATGGAAGGGAGGGAGGAAGGAGGCATACAGGAAGGAACAGCCATATGGTGACTGGCCCTGCCATGGCAGGCAGGTAGCCACTGCCTGTGGGCATGGAGCAAGGGAGCACAGGACCCACCCGGCCTCAGGAACCTCTCAGACCTTGGGCCCGACGACCTTGGGCTGCCTCCGCCTCTCCTTCCACTTAGGCTTCCTGAGTGTGCTGGCACTGGTTGTCCCTCCCAGAGGCCTGAGATGAGGTCTCCACCTGACCTCCACATGATCCTGCCGTTCTGGTCTGTCAGCTCCAGCAGGACAGGGACACACACAGTCCTACCCTGGGGGAGCTGAGAGGCCTCAAGGAGGTCACAGGAAATCAGGGAATAAGTCCCAGAAGAGGGCCCCTGAGACTTAGGGAGCCAGGCCTCATGGGACAGGATGGTGCAGAGCACTGGGAACAGCCTGGCTGCCTGACCCTGGGCCATGAGCAGGGGCTGCCCATGGGTGACCTGGAGCCCAGCCCAGGACACAGGCCGTAGGTGTGGGCTGGAAGACACAATGACACCCGAGTCAGGCTGCCAGCACCTGTGAGGGTGACACTGTTGGGAACCATGCTGGTCAGGGGCGTTATCTCGGCCACCCCCCAGCCTGTCACTGACTCCCCCTGCTAATGACAGCTCAGTGACCCAGGAGAGAGGAATGTGAGTTTGCACCCGTCAGAGCAGAGACTCAGCCCAGATGCCAGGGCCCTGAGGCCAGATCTGCCATGCAGGTGGCTGCCACCATCACCTGAGATGACCTGGCCAGTGTCAAGGGAACAGAGTTGGTTTCAGGTCAGCTGGGGCAGGCATGGCCCAAGAAAAGGAGAGGCCCTTGGATCACAGGGGGAGACCTCACTTGGGAACCCCCTGGCCCCAGGCCTGCAGGGCAGGCTGAGGACAGGAAGAGGGTTGGGCAGAGGGCACCAAGTCAGTCCCCCCCCATGATAGGTGCCCCGGCCACCCGGCCCAGGTTCAGAGATGCTGTAGCTCTGGGCGGCCCTGCCACAGCACCATTGACTTCACCGGCACTGTCACATGAGCTGGGTGGTCCCAGAGCCTCAGTTAAAGAGGAAATCACTGTGGCCCAGCGAGGTTTGACAGCCAGCCTAGAAGCAGTGCCGGTGCAGCTGAGATCTACCCCAGCTCCTGACCTGGGTGGGAAGGGTCAAGTAAAATACAGGTAAATTTGAATCTCAAGTTAATGACAGAGTCTGGGTGCACTCACCAATCTGCCTGTATTTTGGAGGAGCAGGGTGTAGACTCAGCCCTTGAGCAATGCCCCAGCCCCATGCAGCGCAGCCCAGGTCCTTAGGGGGACATGGAGCCCACAGGTTCCTGGTCGTGACACCGTGGCCCCGGCTGCTCTGCGCCATGACCCGATTAGCCCCTGCAGGAAGTGGCCCAGGAGCCTCAAGGACTGTGACACTGAGCGTGCCATTTCTCAGCCTGAACATGGCAGCCTTGGGGGCCTGTGTTACCACTGTTTACTGGGTTGGCATAGGGGGAGAAGGGCAACGTCTGGCGCACCCAGACCCAACCTCCAGGAACGCTGCGGGTCCCTTTGGCTGGGCAGCAGGCCTGTGCGCCTTCCCTCCAGCACACTGGCTGGCCCTGCCCATCCCCATCCCCTGGCCCAGATGTCTGCACTACCCTGTGGCTACCCTATGCGCCTGCCGCAGCTTTATTGAGGTATTACCTCACCTGCGATACCACACATCATTTAAAGTGCACAGTTATTCCTGGTATGTTACTACATTTTCAAATTGTGGTAGAGTACGCATGAAAACACTGGGCCAGATGAGGCGGCACCCTTGAAATGGGGGTACTCTGGGAGCCTGAGGCAGGAGGATCACAAGTTGGACCCAACCTGGGCGACTTAGCCATTTGCCAAGACCCTGCTTCAAAGCATAAAATAAAAACCTGGGGTTGTGTAGATCAGTGCAAAGACCCCAGATTTGATCCTCAGAATCATAAAAACAAATGGAGCCTAAAACTGGCCATTCCAACCTCTTGTAGTTCAGGCTGGCCTTGAGCTTACGTTGTAGCGCAGGACAGCAGTGATCCTCCTGCCTCAGCCTCCTGAGTACGGGGATGACAGGCTGCACCACCACGCCTACCTCTCACTGTTGTTCAATGGTTTGTTCACTGGTGTTAATATTTTACCCTGCTAGAGGCCATAACCATTACTTACTTCCCAAACTTTAACATAGCCCCAGGCAGTTGGTGCAGCTACAACCCCTCCCCACTGTCCAGCCTGCTTGTCTGTGACTGTGCCTAATCCTGTAAGATTTCTTTGGGGGGCCGGGGGGATGGCTCAGTGGAATAAGCGCTTCCCTGGCAAGTGCAAGGGCCTGAGTTCAATCCCCGTTTCCACAAAAAAAAAAAAAAAAAAGATTTCTTTGGGTTCTCGTTTCTCAGACTTCACCTGGTGCTTCCCAGGGTCACGTGTCACAGCTCAGGTTTCCCTCCTCAAGCACCTTTGCTAGCAGGTGGGAGGGAACAGTCTCCCTGCGTGGCCATTGGCTCTGAAGAGCTGGGTTCTTGCAGCCAGCAGCATCATCCCTGTGTGTGTGCGGCTGCCCATCCCGCGGGTGGGGACAGGGTGCGGGCTTTATGCTGTCTCCTGTTTACAGAAGGGGGAACTCAAACCCATAGTGACTCACTCACCTCCATTTCCGGCCTCTCATTCCTGGGGCTCCTGCGTGGGTGTGGTGGCAGGGTTGGCTCATCATGCGTGGGCCATTTGCAGAGATTAGGTCGTACCAGGGCCCAGCCTCACCTCCCACTGCTGGGACAGAGGGGCTCTACCTCCCTGGGCCTGAGGGCAGCATCCCAGGGCCTGGCCCCAGCAGTGACCACAGACTCCTGCTTCCGTCCCTGAGAATCTGATTGTGTCCACTCTCAAAGCCATGATCTAAAATACCTGCGATCCTAGCACTTGGGAGGTTGAGGCAAGAGAATTGCAAGATCCAGAACAGCTTCAGTTACAGAGTGTGACGCTGTCTAAAGAAACAAAACAGGAACAGGAGCAGAGCGTACATGCTGATCCCACCCACTGCTGCTAGAGGACATGACTCCCGTGAAGCTGAGAGAAGACTCCTGAGACCTAAGCCTTGCCCTGAACTTGGGAGGCAGCGGGCTGGGTTGCAGTAGGGAAGCACTGTACTCCTGAGCCATATCCCTGGGCTTTTATTTTGAGACAGAGCCTTGGACTTGCCATCCTCCTGCTTCAGCCACTAGCTTCTGTGAGTGCTCCTGGGGATTGAATCCAGGGCCTTTGCAAAGGGCTGCGTCCAGCATCTCTTCCTTTTTAATTTTATTTTGAGACACGTTCTTGCTAAGTCATTATATTACCTAGGCTGGGCTTGAACCTAACATTTTCCTGCCTCAGGCTCCCAGAGTGCCGAGATTATAGGCATGCACCACCATGCCATAGCAAAATACTGCTTTGTTTTGTTTTGCTTTGTTTGAGACAGGGTTTCACTTCAGACTTCAGGCTGGCCTTGAACTCACTAGGTAGCCCCAGCTGGCCCGGAACTCATGATGATCCTCCTACCTCAATTTTCCAAGTATTGGAATTATGATTGAGAAATGTATAATTGTATAATAATGGTGTACACCACCATTCTGGCATTGCTTCCCGATGAAAGGAAAAAGTACTGGTGGTGAGGAAGGGAGAGTTCCCACTTGAAGCCAATCAAGGAAGACTTCTTGGAGGAGGTGGGGAGGTGAGATGGTCTTCGAGGGACTCGGGTAGGAGAGAAGTGGGGTGTCTCAGTTACTCTTCTCTTGTTGCTGGGACAAATACTGACATTCAAAATGAGGGAAGGGGGCTGGTGAGATGGCTCAGTGGTCTAAAGCACCTACTTGGAACAAGCTTGGCAAAGCACAGGGACCGGGGTTCAATCCCCCAGCACCACATGCCAGCCAGCCTGCCCCCTGGTGGGCTGAGCTGGCCACACACACATAAATAAATAAAAATTAAAAAAAAAAAAA